CGTTTAATCATTAGAGCGCTTATTGTAGGTGCACGTCAATCTCCATCAGTTTTGTCAGCACTCATTGTGGCGAAAGTACGTTTCCGCATATTCACATATTAAGTTGTGTATTTGATTTTTCTAGGCCATGTTGAACGATCGTGATTACATCTCGTCTTCCAAAAAAAACAACGCAAAGTTCGCTTCACCTTTTAGCGACAATGACGGTTTTCTTACACTGATGCCGGCATCTCGTCTTCCATGTTACGGAAGATGTTTACGATCAGTACCCTGTCTCCTTGTTGAACAGAGCTCGAAATATGATTGCATAGTTAAACTACTACTCCATTGTTTCCTTAACGATAGATGTTGTCTTTTTTTTCTGAACAGCCGACTATAATATATATCTCGTACGAGTCTCATAAGTTTAGTTTAGTCCGTTTGGCCGGGCGAACTTACCAGTCGCGCTCTCTTGCACTGGTTCGCGCATAGTTCGAAGAGGTATTCGCGTTTTCGGAACTATCTATCTTGGAAGTTTGTTCGCGCAACCTACTCCTTCGTGAGCAAAGGTCTCGTTCACGTAAAAAGATATTCCCGCAGTGTTATTTGTAGCGATTTGGGCGACGGTCGCGGTCACTCTTACGATCGGTAAGAACCTACCTGCACAGTGCGCGATCATACTACTTCCCTACCGTTACAGCCTTCGTTAAGGTAACTTAAGTTTAACGATTTGGATCTCGTCCTATGGAGGCCTTGTCGGATTGTGGCATAGATGTGTTGTATTCTGGGTGCTGTTGTCGCTGATACTCGCGGGCAGTTGCTGTTGGTGGTCTTGAGTCTGCGGCGTAGCATTGTCCGGCTGTTGTTGCTGCTGGTTCGACTGCGGCGGTGTTGGTTGCTGCAGCTGTTGCACTTTCGATGGCTGTTGTGCGGGTCGCTTAGATTCCTGACCCGTTGAATCGGGTAAGGGTATTGGCCTGTGAGATTTCATGTGCGCACTTCTGCTTTTCACTTTGTTGAAAACTCTGAAAGAAAAGTGTAATTGGGATGTAAAGTGGACTGTCGCATTCGTTGGGAAATCAAACTGGGCGAAACAGTCTAGCGTTGCGAGAGTTACAATGTGTAAACGCAATGCCCGGTTTGTAAGATTTATATACGATTTATATCAATATCTCGTGAAAAGTAATGTGAATGTACACGGAAACTATCGAACTTCGATGTTTGCAGACATTCAAAAACATTTCAAGCGTCGAATCGTGTTTTAATTTAGACACTCAGTATAGTTTAGTATGTTCACATATATTTCACACATAACGTGAGGAGTATCGGAAATACTGACATAGCAACAGCAGCCTAACAAATCATGCTTGCGTTATGCGTTTGAATTTAATATTCATTATAACATACCATAGCCAATTTATACAAATATTTTTATTAGAGAGTAAAACGGAGAAACGTAATTAGAAGAACCTAGGCAGCAAATTAAGGACAACGATATAATATAGAAATGTGCGCCAGGCATAAAGTATTAAATAATCAAAAATCGCCAATGACAAATTGCATAAAAAAATATGTAAAAAATATGTTATATCTTAATTGAATTCTGCAGTATGAATACTGTTGTCATATCTGTTTATTAATAATATTAAGTCTTTCAATATGAATGTATATCGTGAATGGCGTCTGTGCAGTTTCCAAAAATGTGTATTTCATCATAAAGGAAAAAATACGATTCGTTTCTTGCTGTATAAATTTTTATATTGTGTTCTATTCTTTGAATGATTTAGAAATGCAATTAATGGCACTCATGTTTTGTGTATATAAATTTAAAATGTATAATTGTCTGCTTTTACTAAAATGCAAATGTATTTTGCTGTTGCAATTATCTCCTTAAATTGTTTTGAGTCGCTTCTTGTGATATCATTGCTGATAAAGTATTCATATACTTTTATTTTTATAAGTATATATATATGTATGGAATTTTGAAGCTACGTAGTCGGCATCGATTCACTACTCGGCATCAGATCGTATGCAAAAAGGCGCTCGGTCTCTCTACAAGCAAGGATATCTATTATGTGAGATGTGCCAATATACTTGCCGCTTACATTGTCGTTAGGGCACGCGCGTCGCACGAGCTCCGCCGTCAATTATCGGAAATTGGATAATTTAGATTAGAGATTGGAGACTTACTTCCCGCAAATCTTGCAGGGGTAGTGAAGTGGGGTGGGCGCGGGTAGTTGTTGCTCAGAACTAGTGTGAGTTTGTGAGTTGGTGTTGACTGTGGCGTGGCCGGTATTGCCGATTTGGGCGGTTTGGGTGCTCCCGGCCATCGTTACTGTTACACTTCCGCTAAAGCTCTGACAACACAAAGAAAACACAAAGCCAAAATAAACAACACAAACAAACGACAACGGCGACGACAGATAAGTAACGCAACGGTCACACAACGCACAACATCCTCGGTCCTTTTAAAATAAAGCGTGAGAAAACGACGGATCAACAATCAATCTCATGCGACACTTAATATGTTCATACGTATGTACGCGTGTAAGATCATTTCAGACATACACCGAGTACAAAATCAACATTTAAATATCGAAAAGCTCAACTATTCGCAGCTGCAAATTGTTATATATATATTTTTTATTTTAAGAAATAACAGGTGTGAAAAAGTTTCGTACTCGGAGTGTGTGAAGAATACAGGATATGCGGTGAGCAGCAAACATAGAAAGAATTTATATAAATGTATTCCTTCTTCTCTGTGAACCAGTTACATTATTATATCGTGTTATATTATATTGTAATTCACAATGTGTACTGCGCGTATATATATATACATATATAAATTAAAAGGCAAAAATCTTTGGATCTGAATCTCAATTAATTAAAACTGAATAGTTATTATTAAGAGTTAGATATATGATTCGTGTAATCGTAAAAGAGAGCACGGCATTACATAAAATGTTCCTATAGAAGTATTTGAGAAGTGTCGCTACTCACATCTGGGCAGTCGTATGCGAATAACCTCAGCTCTCCTTCGCTGGTGGTCAGAGTCGCCGAGTTTTCTCTTTCGTTTGTTTGTAGCTAAACGAACAGAAAAGTACGGAATACGTTTTACGCGCTCATACAATTAAATGAGATAAAGCAGAAAGCACAAAGTGCATTCAAGCTTACCAGGGCACGATGAAGGACTGACTTGTCTTCACCGAAGTCCATTTCCGTCACGGACGCGATAGCGTCGCGGAGTTCCTTGGTGTCCTTGTTGTCCTTACTCTCGCTCTTGATCTTTGGTTTTCCGTGACGAATACGCAGCCTCTTGTACTCGTCAGGGCAGAGCCTCTTCCAGAGGTAGTAGAACTGCACGCACTGCTTTGCGGTCTTGGCGCCGACATCCCGCGAAATTGCGGTGAAATCCTTATTGTACTTGAGCAGTCCTTGATAGAACGTGTCCATTTCGTGTGACGTCCATCTGTCGGACTCGTGGCACTCGTAGCTGAGCAGCGGATGCTCCATCGGAAGCGTGGGTGTCGGTCGCATTAATTTTACCATCGCTTCCTGAAACACATCAATTAACGTTAGCGTAAGCGAAATATACAACGAGGGAATACAATTTTTTTCATGTTAAAAGAGTATTTGAATATTTTTTAAAGAATATGTCTATATGTGAACTACAGTAAAAAAAATAATCTTACATGGATGTTTCCCTTGCACATGTGCAGCAGATGAAGCGCATACTCCTTGTTTCTACCACCGCCCGGCACTGCGGCGCAACATGCGAACTGCAGATACATCTCCACTGCAAGTAAGCCAACATTTGTTGTTTGAAGCCCGTACATTTTATACATTAATACTTCATTTGCAAAATGAGAACTCACGCTCGGTGCTCGTAAGCACATTGTTTATGCCGGGATCCCACAGAAGATGATCGGCTTCCGGACCGTCTTTTCCACGATCCCCGTCGCGCTCCACCGGTGGTATCGTGGCTTGATATCTCGTGCCGATGTTGATCCGCGGCGGCGGGCCGTCGTTCCCCTGAGAATCGTCCGAGCTGAAATCCGAGTCTCTCTCATACTGATGCAATCTAGCGTATAGTCCCGGCCCGGGGCGAGACGGGTCCAGAATCGGCGGTGGCGTGTAGCTGCTGTCCCAGTGGCGGTCGCAGGCCTTCCGCAACCGTGACGGATAAGAGTGCGAACTGTTGGCGTATTGGCCGCCGTCCATGCGCGGCCTCTTCCGACAGTGTCGCACGGGACTGCCAGCGGGTAAACTGCCGGGACTGAGAAACACGTCCTCCACGTCCAGCAGCTCTTCCTTGATCTGCTCAATGGGCACAGGTAGATTTCCGACCACCGGTTTGTGTCTCAAGATGTTGTTCTTTGTCGTGTGATTGGTTTGAACGAGAAACTTGACCGGATTGACGACCTGCTGCTGATTGAACTGTCCCGCGCTGTTGCATTGCTGCTGGTTCGCCGTTTGAACGTTCAGACCGAGATTCGACGGTTACCGGCTCGACCTTCGGCGTCGCCAGACGATCTCCTTCTGAACGCCAACGCTGGACTCAGCGACGCCCGCCTGCACCAGCTACGTTCGTTTTCTGCAGACCTGCCGTCTGTATCAGCTTGAACTCGCCGTTGTTGTCGACGACGATGCCGGCCAGGCTGCCGTTTCCGAGACCGAAATCCACCAGATTCTGGCTCGTGATCAGCTTGTACGATTGGAATTCGAATCGTCTGCGTCCGGAAGTGTTGAAGTCCTTCGGGGTCGACGACAGCAGCGGATCTTCCGAGTTCGGCATCATCTGACTCTGCAACGCATGATGTGGCGACACGGGAAAGCTGCCGGTGCCGGTGAAGGTGACCGGGCCTGGCGACGAAACGGAGGACGGTGGGAGCGAGGACAACGGCGACGGCGCCGGGGTCGCTGACAACGGGCTTGGCAGTGGCGAGTGCGGATTCGGCGAGCCGGACCCGTACAGGTCCGCGTCCGCCTCGGATTCGCCCGGCAGCACCTCGTTCAGCGCCTCCTCTACAGCCGCGGCGGATGACATCGACGTGGTGTAGAACGCCGCCGAGAGCGGCGACGACACCTGTCTACAGCTCTCCGGGTCCTCCTGAGGACTCAGCAGTGGTAAACTTCCGGTAAGCAAGCCCTCCTGGCTGGCTGGTGGCGTGGGATACGTGAAGCTCGGGCTGTCGTGTCGCGTCAACGGTGACGGCAGAGGCGATTGGGTGGGCAACGTATGTGGACTCTCCGTGTATTGCGCGGCGTAAGTGCTGAATTCGGCCAGTGAGTCAGGTAACGGCGAATTGACCAACGCTTGTAGATCCGGATTGACAGTGTGCTGCGATGAGTACCGGTCCTCCAGCGTGATATCCTGCAGCTGCTCGGTGGATTGTTCTTGCAACAGGCTGGTCGTCTGAAACTGTGAGACGCAAGATCAAAATAAAAATACTATTTATACAGAAAAATTTATTTTAAAGTTTTATGTCAATTTCTGCAAAAATATAATATAAATTAATTAGATTCTCTTATTTTAAACCTGAAATTCTTAAAAACGTGTTCTTTGATAAGAAAAAATGATGTATTGGAATAAATAGAAGCCATATCAAACTTGTTGTAAATCATATTAATTTTTTCACATAAATTTATTTGTAATTTCGAAGTAAATGGTTTTCAAACTAATCTTTATTAAACATTTTTATTTTAATTTTTTTTTTGACAACGTATTGTTAAAATTTATAGTACCACCTTTAATAAAACCTTTTATAATGTAAAAATCATGGATTTTATTTTCATAAACGGTTTCAAAGAGAGAAAAACAACTCTTCATCTACTTGTTTATGACACGTTCATCGGATTGAAAGTAACTCAAAAGCATAACTTTTTTGCACAAAAAAACATTTAGTTTTTTCACAGTGCAACGCAAACATTTACGAAACGAGAAATAGTCTGAACATCGATTCGAGTATTTACCTGAATCGAGTCCAACTGAGTGGCGTGCAGAAGCACGCTGTCAGGAACCGTGGTGACTTGCTGAAACACTTCGTCCTGCAGACTTGGGCTAAAGTAACCACCGTCTTCAGCGTAACCGGTCATCGTGAAGCTTTCCGTTACCGCAGGTTGTGCTTGCGGCTGCTGATTATTCGGTTGCTGATTAGTCGTAGCTGATTGCACAGGCTGCTGATAAGTCAGGTGTAATCTCTGCCCCGGATCGGAGGTTGTTCTCTTCACAGCCACCTTCGCACCCTATAATTTATTCGCAAGTTGCACGTGAAGTCCAGAATGAGCGTGATTACATGTTAACTTACATGAACATTATTAATGTACGATATTCCGAAAATAATGATAACATTTTTTTAAGTAGATACATCTTATTACGTTAAACAAAAAAATCCTAATAAAGTTTTAGTCCGCAAATCAAATCCGTTTCCAAAATAAATGACGATAATATAGTTGCGACGCGTTGACTTTGAACATTTTAAAAATAAGAATTATATAAAAATTGTTACAAATAATAATCATTTATTATATTGTTACTGTTTGATTTGCAAGCTTTACTGTGATGATAAGATCTGAAATTTTCTGAGATGCGAGTTTATAAAAAATTTTAAATGCTGTCTGTGCATCTCTCTGAACACAATTCTGTGTCTTCTCATTATAGATATTCCTTTGAACATGTGCTGAAAGATTTCTTTAAAAAATAAATTAAAAAATCGAAGACTACAATAATTATTTTATTTATAATATATTAATTATTACGAAAACGATTAATTTTATGTCCCAAGACTTTTTCATTTAATTCTACAAGACTTGTCTGCTTGGAAAATTTTGCTATTACTTGTAAAATACATTATATAATACACTAAAATGTTATTGTTACAAAATTAAAATGTCTAAATAACGATTAAGCAATTTCTCGTGTGTGCGATATCGTACCTTTAGAATCAGATCGGCCAGAGCTTGCGCTTGAGCCTGATTTTGTGCGTCCTGTAATTGCTTTTGCACGGTTGCGTGGCTGCCCACGGTAACATTGGGCTGCCGGAAGTGTTCACCATCGGAAAGCCGACGCGCCTTCTCCCCCGCCGCCAAGGGCGGTGGTGCTGGCACCGCAAAGCTCGTCTTGCCGGCGATTTGCGAGACGGCATCGGCTTGCGTGGTGAAGACGGTGGCATTCGTGCGAGGCTGTTGATTGCCATTCGCGTCCGCTGCTAAAACGTATACATTTCCTACTGAACAATCTGATTGACGCAAATTTTACCTTGCAAAACTTGACAAATTAATTTCAATAATTTAATTTAATTTAATTTATTAAATTACCGCAAATATTGTTAAATTATACAATCGTGCGAGTGATATAACGTTTATTCGAGGACTACTATGTACATGTGTATTTTGGCTAAATGGTTCACCCGTACTCGTCTTTATACTTGAGAAAAAAAAACATAGATTTTCATTACACAATCATATTTTATCTATTATTATACGCTTGAAAAGCAGAAACGCTTTTCTCGATAACGGTTGGCGGTAAACACACGATGTCTTTAGTTTGCTTTCGCATTTCAGGTCGAGAACAAACACCGTGCGCAAGAGGAGCCTCTCTGAAGACCTCGTGTTTGCGACCGCAGGAGATGGATTGGTCGGTAAGATATTTTCCCTTTTGCGAGAGCGACATAGTGCGCGACGCTTCGCGTTTCCGTGCGGAATAAACACAGAGAGACGAGCAGGTCCGCAGAAGACCGTGAAACGGAAAGCGGGAAAACGGAAGAGAGCACTCCCGTATGCATGAGCGGGAATACATATATATATATACACATATATATGTACCCGCGTTCGAAATAAAAGGATCTTTTGTCGCCTTCTTTTTTCCTCGATTCGCCCTTCACCCGACAATGACGGTCGCGAATTGCTGTTCTCTTTCAGCCGCTGCACACACGCGTTGACGATTTTTGTTTTCCCTTTGGCTTTACGTATATATAATTGAAGAGAGGAAAAAGGAATAAAAAGAAGCGCGTGGAGAATTGGCTGAAGCAACAACATACGTCGTATCTCTCCCACTCTCTCTCCCTCTCTCCCTTCCTCCTCCCTCTCACTCTCTTTCTCTCTCGTTTTCTCTCTGTACGCGCAATAAAAATTTTTCGGTACGTTGTATCTCTAAAAATAACAATATTTAAATTTCAAAAAAGCGGTGCGTGCTGGGTACGTCACCGGCATATCCTGAGAACGGTGGTTTGCTGGAATAACTGCATTTAAATTTCAAAAAGCGCTCATGCCGTTCCGGTTATAATATATTCCGCAGTCCGACGGACTGACTCAATTTTTACGAAAGCGCGCGGATGACAGAATGTTATAACGGAGCAGACATAAAATACCGAATGACATGTCGCACCGAATGAACGAAGAAAAAATATTAGTAAGCTTCTCTCGACAGTAATCACCGATCAGACATATTCCAACCAAATGTAACACACAATTCACATTCTTCTCTCGCATAAATATACAAGAATGAAGGCGAGAGATTTCCGAATCAACCACGGATAAAGTAATCCGTAATTTTTTAACACACAGGATTATTTCCTTTGGTTGCGAGTTCTGAAAAAATTTTTTAATAGCACGCAGCAGTAGGATTTTTTAGAATTTAATAAAAAAAAAGGAAGTGAATACGTATAACTGTGAAGCATATTACATTTTTTTAATTCACTCCAGGTTACAAAGAGTTAATAGGAGAGCGTATCTATTCGCTTATTTGGACCGCAGCGAAAAATATATCCGAACGCATCTCTTTCTTTCGCACTTGGCGCTCCACCGCGCGCCGGTAATAAATATTTCGCCGCGCCGCTGAAATCGCGGCGTACTGAAAAATATATTCCACGGCGTGCACAATCGTTCATGGTAGCCGTACAGCTCGACGGAAATAAATGTGCGTGCATATCCTGGACGCTCCCGCGGGGAGGGGAAGGGGCGAAAGGAGGAAATGGGATTCACCGGGTGTACAGCTGTATCGCGACGAAACTTTTCCACGACGATTTCATGAATATCCTTCGTTCTGGCTTCGAGCCGGCACCGAGCGGCTCTCGTTGCATTACATTTTTTTTCGCCGTTATACCCGTTCATCGCGGTCCACCGTGCTCTATACATTTTTATCAGCGCGTAGCGAATAATTAGCGGTGACGAAGTGACCGATGTTGTAATAAATGCGTCTGTGAATTTACGAGAAGTTCCTAATTACGTCTAAAGCTGTCGCTGTGACGGCAAACAGCCCCCCTTGTAAAATTAAAATTCGCGGAAAATATTATATATTTCTGTTTGTGAAGCACAACAAATACGCACTGCGCGGTTTGTCAAAAGCGCAAATGCGGTTTGCCCAATGATTCCATCGATCATCGGTGCGAAGGGCATATGAAACTTATGCATTTACATAAACCACAAATTCCGTGACCGTCCGTGTACGTGTGACAGCATATCGGCACACATCTGCGCGAGACCGCGTGATATTTTTACAAATTGCCAATCATCGATCGCGGCGAGGCAAATTGCTTCCAACGAGGCGGACGCGCGGACCTGTCTCCGGCCTGTCCTATCTGCACTTCGAATGGAAATCGTTGTGGCCGATGCAGCAGCGAAAAAGCCGAGCGGACAAAGCAAAGCTTCGTTTGCGCTCGTAGTCCACGTACCTACATGAGATAGTATTATAGGCATACGTGTACGTGCTGGAAATCAAGCACTTTCTCTCGACTACAATTTTTTTTATCGAATGTAAAGTAAATTCTTTCTCAGCGGAGAAATTTAACTAAACGAAAGAACTTTTATATACCTATTTTTTTTTTTAATTTTTTATCTTATATTATCTTATCTTGATATAGTAAAATTTTTAATAAAAATTCTGCTATTGATGAATATTTTAATACTGATAATAAAAGTCCAGTCACCGATAAATCGATTATTGAATTTATATAATTATACTAATAATATTCTTATATCAGGCGACAATATGTTTCCTTAAAGAATTAACAATAAATTCGATCACAGCTATCGGGCAACAATCATCTCGACATGTCACTGGTTTAATTCTTCGTCTGATTTATTGCATGATTATCATCGGACACCCGTACGCGTTCTTTGGTGTTGGCAGAGCGTCCGGTAGATGATATTTCGTCGGGCGACCAACATGACCGCGCGCGTTCCCATCGATGTTTCGTCCTCTCGTCCTCCCGCCGCCCTTTGTCAAAAATGTGTGCGCCAGCGTTGCTGCACCGCCGACAACCAAATAACGGTGCAACGCTGCATTCCCGATGCATCGTCAGCGACGCATCGCGCCCAACTAGCACGCTCTCGCACCAGGCAAATTATTTATCGATCGATCTTGTTGTGCGGCCACTTTCGAGGCTTTCAAAAAATAATGGCCGACAACAACGGATCGGGCTAAATGACTGTCAACAATCCCCAGCGCTCCCGATGGAAAACCACGTTATGTAGACACCGGTTTCTATTGCATGCTGATTAATAACGCGCTTGTGATCGAATATTCATAGAATTCTCGAGTCCGTTATGTGGCAGAGCGGAATTCGAAAAGGAGCTCACCCCTTTGCTGCTGGTTTATTCCACCATAATTCCACTATAACACCGTCCGACTAACGTCGATCTATACTACTTGAAACTAGGTTTTCTACTTGCTCTTCATTTGCGCGAACAAATACTGTATTTCTAATCAAACGTCACAAATTCTATGCTCACTGGAATAGACTCATTAAAAGGTAAAATCAAATCGAGATTTATCACGGGAAATGTTACACACTGCATTAATTTCACCTCCGCCGAATAAATTACATCGGAACATATATGTTATTCGTATAATGTATTCAATGTTACAAACAGCGCTGTACATTTCGCGTGATTCCCCATTCGCGCGCGAATTCTCGTTGTGAAAATTAAATAATCATTAAAAGCTAAATACTGGTGGTAGGCATTAATTTTTCCGGCGCGGAATCTTGATTAAAAGAAAAACAAACCGCGTATATCATTTCCTCCGCGCGTTCATTATTATATACGATTTAAAAATCTTTTTGAGAATTTTCAAATAGACTCGTATTTTGAAATAAACACACGCAAAATATATTTTTCGAAAGAATTGTAGGTAGCGAAAATTTTTATTAACATAAAAACGTTTAATATCGGCTCTTATCTCGGGAAATAATTTCGACCTGCCAAAGATTAACGGCCGGCGATCATCCACACATGTCCGCAAGAAGATGCGCGCACCCCGTCGATTATTTTGCGCTTATTTCGGGTTTACGGCCGTCCGAAAGGAGCGATGCAGAAGGCGCCGGGCCGGATAGCGGATTGTCCATCCCTCGCCGTTCTTGGCAGATGCCGAGGCGAAATCGCGCATAAATCGCTAACGACGCGCACTTTGTTACAAAAGCACGGGGGCCTGGAGCCCGCCGGGCCGTTCTGCTACCGCCGCCGGGCTTGTGATTTATCGCGCCGACGTGGACAATGCGAGAAATATTCTGGCGTGTTCGCTTCGTAAATCACGCTTCTTCGGCAGTCCATACAGTCTCTCTGCCCCCATAGAGAGGCGGCCCTCCCCGCGAAATATCACGGCGGGGGCGGCGGCCCTTTCCCCGTTCTGGCAAATGTACATACGTACGCGCACGCGAGAGGAAAGAGAGAGAGAGAGAGAGAGAAAGAGAGACGGAAGGAGCGGAATAGATGAACGGTAGGACACAACGGGGGATACGCAGCCGAATCGGTATACACGGTCGTAAATCACGCGCGGAATCGCATTCGCGGATTCTGTGTTCTCAGCATCGCTCGCCGGAACAAGTGTATTAATTCTTTTTTTTTTCCCTGCGGTTATGACACGTATATCACCTTCGGGATTCTGCAGGGAACAATGACGCGCTCGCGCCGCACCTCGCTCGACCATATTGCATCGAACGATGCGTCTCCGGCGCGCGAACGTGGAGCGGTAAACTTTATTATCGGTGTTGAGATTAATGTACCGCGTCATCGTGTCGTTACGAGAAAAGAACTAATAATTCCTTACCTGTCGTTCTCTTCTGTATGATCTTCTCCTCGATGAGCGCTCTCACGCTGACGGACGCCGTTTGCAGGGGCGGCCCAACGACCTCCTTCTTTTCACTCTTCTTGTTCTCCGCGTCCTGCAACGAGAGAAAGAGACACGTCGTCACATCGAGTCGAACAAGCCGTCGGTCTGCTTGGCGCGGATAAAAGTCATTCGGTATTGACTGCGCAAATTCTCTGCGCTGCGCGGCGTTCGGGAGAGGCGGGAATTTCTGGTTAAAAGTCTGGATTCTCGCCAACGGTACGATCGTTAACTGACGCGCGAGGAATAGTCGCATAAATCGATATCTCATCGCGGTCGCGTGACTGGAAGAACTGATTTCCCGCCTGTCGTCGCGTACTATTTCGGCGTACCAAGTATCTCGTTAACTGATCGCGGTCGGGCACGATGGAGCGGAAGTCTCATTGGTCCGCACGCGGCGCTAGGATCTTCGTCTGGGCTCATCCAAAACTCTGTAGTCTAACCAGAATCCTCATTGGACCTGGCCACGGAGAACTCGTGACGAGAGAACCTGGATTAGGAGCTCAAATCACGGGCAAATTGACGCGCGGAGTACTAAGGGAGACTACAATGGTGGACGGGAGGACGAAGGGCGAGCGGGGCCACGGAGATGCACGCTAATCACTGAGCAAGGCTAATTGAGGCGCTCATTGGATTATATCGTAATGGAATCTCTGGCGTATGCGATTCAACATCCTGTAATACGCCTCGGCACACTAAGAGAAGGCATCGCGTATCTAGGTGTCCGCGAAGAATCAGCGGTGTCTGATAAGCTTCGACTACCGATTGTGGAAACCCAATAGCGAAATGGCGTGTCGATAAATTTCATATATTTCTTGTCCTTTGTACAATTTAACGATATATACGCATCGGACACATTTTTGTTCAGCAAGCAACGCAAAAATTTTTCATACTTTTCTATCCGGTTTCTCATTTTTTTCAATCTCAGGAACATCTCTATAATTATTGAGATTCCTTATTTGTAACGTCAGCACATTTCAACCGCCTGCTATTAATATTGTGCTTCTTTTCCAATGCTCTCAGGAAGCTCTTAGTGATTCAATGCTCTTGGGGATTTCCAAGACGACATAATAAAATTCTCTTTCCACCTATTCATCCGTCTATGTTGCAATATCGATCTTTTGACTGAAAAAGCGACCGAAAAAAACGCGGTGTCACCGACAACACAATAGCGCTCTGCGGTATCGCGGATTTATCATCGTCGCATCGATTTATTATTATCCCCGGAGTCTCATTCGTATCCTCGCGAGCATCCACCCGCTTTCCGCGTCTCGCGGAAGATAAGCCGTTCTCGGCCGCGCGAACTTGCCGGCGCCGCGAGCTACCGCGGGCTCCACTTCCTAACTCACTAAGCGCAGGAATCTCTCAAAGTCCGCGTAATTTTTTTTTCTCCTCCTTACGCGGCGCCCCGCGTGTAAAAGTTATATTACTTAAAGTTGCCGCGAGTTATACGCGTCGTGCAAGCGGATTTCGCGACTCGTCCCCGATCTAAAGCGAAGCGGCGCTGCTGCCTTCCCCAGGCGGCGCCGTACGACCTCCGCGAGTTTCGGGACACGTTTATAATTAGCATACTAATACCGCCGAGAGGGTGCCGCGCGCATACATCTCTCGCATCTGCATCCCGCCGTTGTTGCTCTTAGTGGTCGCACGAACAATATATCAGTACGGATGCATACGTCATCATCATCTTCATCAAGCCGTAATGGCCCGGGCACACGGAGTCGGCGGTCGTCATCGCACCCGAGCCCGCAATTTCCTATCTCGTACTTCGATAATGCGAACGCACTTACGTACTCGCGGCGTGGGCGCGCGCATATATATATTATATATATCACGGCTCCCACGAAATTGAACTCTGTCTTTGACGGGGCGTACAACGCTCGCTCGCTTCATGAATATTGATCGGCGGCTGTTAATGCGCGGAATTGATTGCGGAACGTCCGCCGCGCCGCGCCGATTCCGGACTCATCAATTCGATCGGTGTCGATTCCAGCTACCGCGGTTATCCGCCGGCCATTGTCCGCGATTAGACTTTCGTGGGGTCCACGGTGACGCTTTTTCGCAAATTATTTTCGCGCTGTCCAAAAGGGAGAGAGTGCGGACAAAGATTCTGTGTAGCACTTTATCTTGATTTATCGCTTCAATTTTCTACTATTTTTGCAATTTTGTCCGGCCGCGGAAAAAGATGTATTTATCAATCGATGTTTTGTCTTGATTGATCAGTAGATCTGTCAGTATTCTATTTTACGACCGCGCGAGTAATACAATTCAGCTGAAAAGAAACGCGTAAACTATGTTTTAGAGCTCGTATTACAAAGAAGCGATTAATGGAAGACGCTGCAGCGGCGCTGCAATTTCCGATATTTCTTGTTCTTACTCCGGCTGTGCACGCCGGGATATCGATCAATCGATAGCGCTACGTGCGCGCGTATGTTTTCCAACAATTCCCTCCCCTCTGGACGATCAATCGTGCCGCACGTCAACTACTTACAGAAAATAAATCTGAAACGCGTCGGCGCAGATTTATTGCCAGCGATTTATCGCTCCGAAAAATCATTCGTCACGTGGCGAACGGGATGTAATGAAAAACGGTGCGTCGCGCGCGGGACGGGGAGCGGCATATGCGGGCGATTCTTACGAAAATGCAACGAGTTACACGCCGAGTAATTCGCTCGAGAGCTCTGAGAGAGAGAGAGAGAGAGAGAGAGAGAGAGAGAGGAGTCAACCCCGTCGCCGCGCGCGCGGAATTAACAGCACACCGCCACTTAACGAACCCAAATGCGGTGGTCGCTAACTCCTCTCGCCGCGAACACGCGCTTTAAACAACAGCAGACGCGGTTGTTTCATAGTGGACGGGGGCTCTTTCTCTCCTTCCGCTCACAATCCGATGAGTTTTCGTGTTTTGCTCCTCTCATGTCCGCCCGCACGACCCGTTTATTCCCTCCGCGCGCGTGATAGCAGCGTTAATCCAACGATATATATACATATCTCTCCCCGAATTTGAAGGTCCATTGAAACTTTTCAATAATTCCGCGCGGTTGGTGGCGCGCCCGGTAAAAAGCTCGTGGCGAGAAGAGAAAGCTCCGACGGAGAGAGCTTTCGTTGGTAGCGCCGGCGCCTGTTTGGCCTCGCTGGCTTGAACGCAAACGAGAGAGTACGTGGCGAGAAGGACCAGAGGAGAGGAGAAGAGAGGAGGGCAAGTGGAGGCGGAGGCGTATCGCGGTGAAAACTCCGAGTGCTCGAAACGAGAGCAGCGCCGTTGAAAACCCCGACCGTAACCAGTCAGATTCAATCTGCATAATGGAGAAAGCTCGAGACAATGTTTGCACGAGGCTCTCCGCGCGCGCGTGCTAGTAGGTTTTCCCGTAGTCTCTTTTCCTTTCTCTCTCTCTCTCTCTCCTTCGTCCGATCGGTCGAATCGTCCCTTTCCTCCCTCTGTCTCTTTCTCCGACCGACGGACTCACGCTGCGGATTGGTTCGGGGATCGGGTGGAACCAAAGAGCTTGTTAATGGGTTCATTTGGATTCGATCATCGCCTTACCTCTCCCGATCCTCGCCAGCGCTATCTCCACGTCTCTCCCTCGTCCGCGCTTTATCTCTCGCCTTCGCTGATTTACTCGCTCTCTCGCGCGTACCCGCCTCGTTTCCAATCTTTACTCTGCCGAGTCGTTACCCGAAGCGAGTCTTCCCACCCGCCCTTCGCTTACGTTAGCGATGAATGGAATAAAGAGTGACGGGCGGGACGAATTGCACCGGGCGAGGAGACAAGGGCGGAAGGTTACGCGGTCGTTAAAAACGCTGATTGGAGAATTAATCCGACGTATTTGTCAGAATCGCGAAGAATCCGGAACAAACGGTGAAGGGGGAGGGGGCGAAAAAGAGAAAGCAGTCTCAGAATCCGATGAGAACGAGCGATTACGCGCGTGACGGATTGGGAACAACTCATTGAATATTTAAATATGATAATAGATTCCTTTTTTCCACATTGCACACATTTCCAGGGAGTGCTTTTCGAAAAAGAGAGAAAAAAAAAAGATCCCACTAACATAATTTTACTTTTATATCAAATTATATATATAGATATATTATAACCTGTGTTTTTTTTCCCTCGTAATTCTCAAACTTTTATAACTCTCGAAGTTTCACATATTTTCGCAATCGTGTGGTAAAAGCTTCGCGGAGGGAAAAGTTCCGATTTATGCGCGGCGATTCAATACGTCGATTATAAAATTCTTCTTGCCTTCCGTCTTGCCCTTTAGTGCCTTCCGACCAGACCGGTTTCTTCCCGCTCGGCTTCTCCGGCACCAGTTACGTCATCGTCTTTCAATTGCAGAATAAAGAACATCCCCGGGTCCGCTATTCGCCACCCCTCCGCCCCCCTCCCGCCATCGGGAGGTGAAAAAGGGGAAACTTTTGTCCGACGAGTTTTTCAGCACTTTTCTAAACGACGCAGCCTTCGTTAAGACATTTTTAATCAGCGAGAGAAGAGCTTCGGCGCGGAGAGATGAACGCGGAAATGGAGAGAGGGAGACGAACGGCGAGAGAGGACGATCACGGAATCGCTGATCTTTCTATTTTAACGGCTGCAACAACCCCTTACCCCCTGACCTTATTAAGAACACCGCCTGTTCGCCTCTCCGTTTGGGAATGGAAGGAGTGACGAAACGAAAGGGGAAAGAGAGGTGAAGAGTGTGCTGAAGTCGCGCGGATCTCCGATCTCTGCGCTCTCTTATATCACTTTTTACCCTTTTTTTCGTGCCTTCGCCGCGACGATTATCACTTCGAGGTTGCATCCGTCGAGTATCGCGCTCCTCGACGCTCCGAGACGACGAGGACGACGGCGGTGGCTTGATGAGATTTTCATAGAAACGCCGGCTGATTATTCGGAAGCAATGCTGGCGCGAGGCGTGCACGCGCGCGCGCGCGCAACGCTCGCGAATTCGCGCGATTGCGAATTCATATGGTGATGCAACCGTCGGCGCGCTATAACTTTGGCGGAACCGCGCGGAGATTTTCTCGAATATTAAAGTTTTGCGCGCCGAAAATGAAGTTTGGACGACGCGCTCGTGCGGATGCAAATGAAATAAGCCGCCGCGAGATGAGATGAGCTCCTTTATCCCGAGGAAATGGCTGCGACCGAAAAAGAGGTGCAACGCGTGATCTCACGTTCGTTATATTACGCGGTGAAAAATTTAGGCCAATTCTTGAATCAATATTCTGCGATTTTACATAATAATACCGCGGCTCAAAAAAAAAAATTAATAATCTTTAGAAAGTGAAACATAAAAACATTTTCTTCAGACGCGTATCTAAATGCTATGGAGAATCTATGTATAATCAGTGATTTAAATAGAACACGTGATATTATTACTACTAGTCAGCTGACAAGTTGATCGTAGTAATGTAATAGTTACGTAACATTACGTCGCATTCATTCATAAATGATACGCGATTTTTTAGACATAACTCGGCAAATTGATTTGGCAACGTGTGTTAAGAATGAATTTTCTACATTTTATGCAGATTCCTATACTCCGCGCGTATGCTCTTATCATAATATACATACATATATGTATATATATATATATATATATAGCTTATATAAGCGAAGCTACGTACATGGATGGATTAGAGATGCATTATACATCTGTTTTGATTGCGTTCCATAATTGCCGCATTAAGAATACATGAGAGGAACGGCAGGAATTACGGGAGAGAGCATGGTTAAAATATTTTCAAGCGGTGAAAGTCGCCTTTTTTTTTATCGACTACTCCTTAGCTCTGTCGTAAATCCACGTAAATACGTGAACAACCATTTTTCTAATGCCGCGGCACTCTTATCAAATATGAAATTTACCTTTTTGAAGTAACCACCGTGAAGTCTCATATGGCCATTTAGGGCTGGTATGTTTTTAAATTTTCGATGGCACAGATTGCACTCCACCGGTTTCGGCTCCGTTTGGGACTTGTTGGCAGTCGCGACCGTACCGGGAGACGACGAGTTTCCGGGAGACGGACTGCTCTTTCCCACATTTCCGCTGCCCGGTGAGCCGACTTGTTGTTGCTGCTGTTGCTGCTGCTGCTGCGCCTGCTGTTGCGCCTGCTGCTGTTGTTGCTGCAAGCAATAAACAGAGTCCATTTTTAATATGATGCGCAATGAAAGATTCATGAAGGCGTGTAAACATTTGCCATTGTTCACTCTTCGCAACTGCGCGATATCTCGGCCGTTTTTCCGCATCGAATAACCATATTATTTATCACACTCGAAGCGAACTTCTTTTGGCGGAATTCAAACCGCAACCCGTAATTACGAGAGCGTAAGTACGATTGTTCAAAATTATTATCATTAAAAATTAACAAGTTTTTGAAAGAACGTGACGGAGATATCGCGCGTAATTGCGAAGATTTCGCATTTCTCAATTCTACATTTCTACAAAAGAGCAGGATGTTTATAAAATATCCGCGATGTAACGACCTCATTAGCTCCGACGGCGGTGTATAACGAGTCAACGTAAGACCGAGAATAATTGAACAAAGGGAGAAATTTCCTTTATGTTACCCTCTTTCTTTGCGGCGCGCGCGATATCCAGCTTAATGCCTCTCTTCCGAAACAGCGGGAAATTTTTAGCGGTGACACACGATCCTCTTTTCCGGCGTTTCTCTATTTCGTTTCACCGCTCCGAGAAAGAGAGAGAGAAAGAGAGAGAGAGAGAGAGAGAGAGAGAGAGAGAGAGAGAGAAGAAGAGAGTA